GTATGTGTCAGGTAAGTCATAAATTAGCAGTGGCAAATAATAAGTATATGGGGGAAGCATATGATGAGAACAAGCCATCAAATTATATTAGTTACTTGGATGCTAATAACTTGTATGGTTTGGCAATGTCCCAGAAGTTACCGCTAAAAAATATCAAGTGGGCAAAGAAAATGCCCAGTGTTGAAAAATGGAATGAAAACGATGAGTTCGGTTATATTATGGAAGTTGATTTGGAATATCCCGAAACATTGCATGATTTCCACTCCGACTATCCACTAGCGCCTGAAATAATGAAAGTAAATGTGAATATGCTTTCCGATTATCAAAAGCAAGTCTATAAAATATATTATGATGGTAAAAGTCCCAAGGACGAGAAAACAAGTAAGTTAATATTAAATCTAAAGGATAAAGAAAATATGTGGTTCATATCAAGACTTTACAGTATTATTTGAAAATGGGAATGAAAATGGGTAAAGTCCATAGGATAATAAAATTTCAACAGAGGGCATGGTTGAATCCGTGGATTGACTTCAACACTGGTAAAAGGAAAGAAGCCAAAAGCGATTTTGAGAAAGATTTATTCAAATTAATGAATAACGCGGTGTACGGAAAAACTATGGAAGACAAGCGAAACCATATGGATTTTGAATTAGTTGATAATGAGGTAAGATATGAAAAATGTGTTAATAATCCAACATTCAAAAACAGGTTTATTATTAATGGAAATCTCGTAGGAGTTGAAAAAACTAAAGCGAAGCTGAAATTGGATAAGCCGATTTTCCTGGGAATGAGCATTTTAGATTTAAGCAAATTACATATGTATCAGTTTTACTATGATGTCCTTAAGAAAAAATACAATGAAAACATAAATCTGGTTTGTACTGATACTGACAGTTATGTAATTCAAACATTGACTGATGATGTCTATAAGGATTTCAATGATATAAAGCAACACATGCATTTTAGCGACTATCCTGTTGAGCATCCATGTCATGACAAAACTAATAAAAAGGTCTTAGGAATGTTTAAGGACGAAGTGAATGGAAAAATAATTACTAAATTCATCGGATTAAAACCTAAATCTTATGCCTTCACAATTCACGGCGAGGATGATGAACATAAGAAATCAAAAGGTGTAGTGAAACACAAAGTTAAAAAAGAACTGTCGTATCAGAACTACCACGAAGCATTATTTCAAAACAAAAAGCACGAAATCACATATAATTTTATTAGGAGTAAGTCACATCAAATATATTCAATGTCTCAAGTAAACAATCTCTCAGTAATTATGAAAATACAAGGTTTATATTGACGCTTTCACTTCATTACCATATGGGCATTATTCCATAAAATAATTATCTAAATAGTTCTAATAATATGAAATTATTAGAATTATTTTCAGGGACAGGCTCGGTTGGTCGGGTTGCTCGGGATTTGGGTTTTAGTGTTATTTCCCTTGATTTGAAAAATGCAAATATCAATACTGATATTTTGAGTTGGGATTATCGTGAGTTTGATGTGGGCGAGTTTGATGTTGTGTGGGCATCTCCTCCATGTACCGAATACAGCCGAGCGAAGACGACGGGCGTCCGAAAGATTGAGTATGCTAACAGCATCGTTTTGAAGACCCTTGAAATCATTGACTACTTCAAACCGAAGTGGTGGGTTGTGGAAAACCCTCAAACTGGACTTTTGAAGGAACAACCATTCATGAGTGGGTTGAAATACTATGATGTGGATTATTGCAAATATGGCATGAACTACAGGAAGCGAACGAGGTTGTGGTCAAACATTGAAACATGGAAACCCAGACCATTATGTAATAGGGATTGTGGGAAAATTAGGAATGGGAAACAGTTAGAAACTGCTCAACGGTTGCCATCGGGTAAAAAATCAGATTGGGGTGAGGGATACATCAAACATAAACAAGATGAGTTATACAAAATTCCTACTGATTTGATTAGTGAAATATTTGTTAGTTTGTTTTAGGGAAGGGGTCAAACACGTCAGTCCGTCCCAGAACCTAGTAGGCGACAGCGGCGTAGGCGAAGAGCAGGATGACTTCTCAACCTCAGGACGAACGAAAAAAAACATTCTGGAAAGGGTGAAAGGGACACAGGCGAAAGGGTGAAAGGGATACAGGTGAAAGGGTGAAAGGGGTACAGGTGAAAGGATGAAAAATAATGTCAAAAATGATGAAACGTGTCTTAAAAAGGGGTCTGTTCACCCACTTGGTGAAAGGGCTTTCGTCTGTTAGGTGAAAGGATGGCTTTCACCCCTTTGGTGAAGGGTTTCCAAGGAAATGGTGAAAGGGTTTTTTGCAAATGGTGAAAGGTGGTCTCGGAGCATTTTTTTTCACTGCCATGCCACTGGTTTGTCATCCCTCTTCCATTGGAGTAGGGACAGCGCCACTTTTGGTGCTCTGAGACTTGATGAAATCTTCTGCCATCTGCTTTGCCATGACAGATGCTTTCTGTGCTTCTTCTTGACGGATGCGAGCGACTTCTTGCTTCATCATCTCTTCAAACTGCAACTTCGTCTCTTCCTTGATGTCCTGCTTCTCAATGCTGGTCTTGATGTCCAGCAAACCCTGAACGGAGTCCTTGAAGGCCTGGTGGTTCAAGGTGGCATCCGACACATTGATGCTGTTGAACTGCTCAGCATACTGGGTCATGAAGTTGTGGTAGATGTGCTGGTAGGTGTCCTTGCAGACCGTCAAGCCATCCTCGTGGAGAGACTTCAAAGAGGGCATCAACTTGTGAATGATGTTGGCCATCCTTGTCGAGGAAGCCTTGCCACTCAAACCTGTCGGTATCAAATCCAAGACGTGTCTCAAAGTGCCAGTGTCAGCGTCTCCCAGAAGTCCTTGAACGGTGAATTCATCTTGTACATGCACCTTCAATTCCTCAAGGACTGCAATGAGATTATCCAACTCCGACACTTCCACCACTCTGACATCGCTGCGGACACGTTGCTTCAAGCGAAGGATTTTGCTTTCGTCCTTCTCTTTCACCAGCGTTCTCTTAACTCCACCATCACCGAAGGTGGTCAGGACGATGGTCACACCGTCGTGGATGTTGTTATCCGTGAAGCTGCGCTGGTCGTAGATGGAAGAGCCGCTTGTTCTCATCAACCTCTGAACATTGGGGGGGATGCCGAACTTCCAGAAGAGGGCGAGTTTCAAGTAGCGAGCCGGCCAAGTGGTCTTTACTTGGAAGGACGGGTTGAAGTGGTTATTCAACATCGTGCGAGTGTCCACATATACGGTTATGAACTCCTCGCTGACTGAGTCAAAGTCACTGAAGTCTCCACTTTCTGGTTCTTCATCATCATCTCCACCACTATCACCTCCCTTCTCTGTATCGTCTGGTGGTCTCTCGTCTTTGTCTTTGCGATCTTCCCCCCCTGAACCACCCGAGTCACCGAAGGAACCAGCCGTCTCAGTTTTTGTCAGTATCACGTCCTGCCACTTCATCATGACACCATTCACGAAGTCCTCCTTCTTCTTGGGCTTCAACTCAACAAGGGCTTTCTCTGGCAAAAGTGCTTTGAGTTGGTTGGTGGTAAGCAGGTTCAAATCCTTGGCATTGACTGACCATGGACGCACAGGGTCAATCACGTCTCCGCACTTAACGAAGAAGGGCTTCAGGAGTGAGCCATCCGAGCAACTGAGGAACGTCAAGCAAGATGCCATGCTTTGGATGGCAAGTACCACTACACACCAATCGCTTGAATAGAAACACACAGGTCAAACATCAAGCAGGCAAACAGGCAAAGCATCCTCAGTGTCAAAGATTATTCATCAAGCCTACATCTCAAGGCACACTGACAGACAGTCTTTTCATCTCTTCGCATCATGGTGTTTGCTCTTACCGACAGAGGCGTTCAGTTTGATGGAACGGCAAACTCTCACCACACAGCTGTGAATTCTGAAGCACCAACATGTTTTTGGAAAGGGTTTACTGCCTACCACCACCAAAGTCAGCTATACACAAGCCTCCAATGTGAAGACTGAACTCAGTCATCCTCCTCCTCGTCCGTTTCATCCTCCGACTCTTCGCCTTCGTCTTGGTCAACCTCGTCAACCGCTGTGGGGACAGCCGTGGAGGGGTCAGGGAAATTGATGATCATGCCGACCTCATAGTCGCTGTCCAGCAACATGAACAACACAGGCATCTCCAAGAAGGTGCCAGAGTTGTAGAGAAACCCCCTCGCCTGCTTGAGGTTCTGGGTGAAGATGCGATTGTTCAAGTCCAAAAGTGTCACGTTCGACACCGACTTCAACGCTGGGTTCTTCTTCTTGCTCTTGCCCTTGAGGTCAACGTTCTTGAAGTAGCCGAGGGATTGCGCCTGTCTGATGGCGCGGCGTCGGAGACTGCCACGGGCTTTTCCCTTGCGGATTTTGATGTTCATGTAGGTTGTCTTGTCAGGCAGAAGCACCTTCACCACGACGTAGCCCGCCTTCTTGTCGTTCAACGCTGTCGCTTTGCGAAGCTTCTCCAAACGCTTTTCCTCCTTTTTCAGGTTGTCCTTCACAATCTTCGCCCGCTTACCCTGTTCACCCTCGATGTTGTCCTTGAACTGGTCCAAACGACGCATCTCATGCATAATGCGCTCGTGGATTGACGCCAAGTTGTCGTTGCTGCTTCCGCTGATGTCCAACTGCATGGTCAACAGCTGCGTCAGCATGTCGGTTTCGGCATCTGATTGGTCTGGTTGGTCTTGTTCAACAACCTGCTCTTCTTGCTGAGCCACTTGCTCCTCTTGCTCTTCTTGCTCTTCGTGATGAACCGCTGGCTTGGAGTAACCATCGTTCTGCTTTTTAGGAGACATAGCAAAACGGATAGAGAACACAAAAGCAATGATGAAAGCCAAAATGCTGATGGAGCGATTGGTTTTCATCAACCAATTGTCAACGAGGTTCTCATCAAGCAATCTGGCAACTCATGCATTATTGTAGACAAAGCGACAAACGATAGACTGAGCCTCCCGACAGAAACATGAGTGAAGAGGAAGTCCACGAAGCCGTGGCGGGAGAAACGACCGAATTGTAGGGCGACCGAGTAGGAAAAACAAATGACACACCCAACACCCCAGAACTTGATAACTACTAAAAGGGCCAACTCTTTCAAATGGAAAAAATGTCGGCCCCCAGCCCAACAATGAACAAGGCGACAATTTACCCAAATGATTACCTTAACGAAAACGATAAATAAGCTCCCCAAAACACCCCTTTTAAAAACGAATAAGGGGGAACACAGATTTGAGATTAACATAAAAACCAGAACAGGCAACCATCAACAGGCCACCCCCTGGCTAGCCCCTTTTTTTTTTACCATTTTTTCCCCCACCCCACACCCCTCAACCCCCCACACCCACACACCCCCCCCCACACCCCCCTCCCCCAGACCCCCCAACACCCCTCACCCCCCCCCCCACCCCCTGATTTGGACTTGGCACGTTGAAGCTCCGGCAGGCGCTGCGGAGCTTAGGGGAGACGGTCCACTGGCGGCAGCTGCCCAGGGCCTTGCACCAGCACAAGTGCGCAGCCTGGGCGAAGGGACTGTCCGCCAGCCATGGAAGCGCTGAAAGCTCTGGTTGCTTTACATTCGATTGGGGTTAAAACCAATGGGTGGGTGAATTCACCACCCATTTTTTAGGCTTCCTATTTTAGTGGTTGGATTGCATCGGATGTTCACTGGGGGTACGATTTGGATTTTGACCCATGGTCACATGAGTGTGGGTCAAGATTAAACCACCATGTGGACTCCAGGTTTTAGTCCATGTCTTCATTTACCAGGGCAACCCATTTCGGGTACCTGTTTTTTGACCCACAGCCACATGAGTATGGGTCAAAATGGATGTGGCTCAAAATCAAACAGGAGGGGTTTCGGCCCATGTTTCCACTTACCAGGTTTGACTTTGAGACCAGTTTTTTGAGCCACAGCCAAATTTAGCCACCATATATACTGCTTCGTCCATGTCTTCATTTGCCATGGGGTAGACAACCACAGCCACGTGACTTTTGATTGCGGATCATGTAGCCCCTCCGAAGATCATGCTTGGACGGACTCTTCGTTTGCTGGGACCCCCTTTCTGGGCTCCATGCTTTGTTGTGGAGGTTAGGCCTTTTGGATAGGAAGGCTTGGGAGCTGAGAGATGTCATGTCAATAAATCCGAAATCCCCTCACATCCCTTCCAACTATCAATGCATGTATTTGGAATGCACACACTCGGAAGTAGCCGATTTTTCTGACATGGAAGATTTGGGAAGCTTTTAAATGTGTTGAATGATGTATGGTCAACCCCCTCGTGTCCTTGTTCTTTGAGCGAAGCCTTGCGCTCGCTGGGTGCAAACGTGAGTCTTGTTGTGACTCGGTTTTGCCAAGGCACGGTTCAAGGCCTTCGTGAACGTGTGGCCCACGCGTGGCACGGCCGGGGTCCACAGTCGCTAGGCGCGCGGCCCCGAGCCTGTGCGAGGAAACGAAACGGATTTGCGGTTTGATCAATCACCGTAGTGTCCCCCCAAAAAACGGATTTGCGTCCAATCAATGTGTGTCCCCCTTTTGGTTGGATCCGCACTTTGAAGCCGGCCAACTACCATGATGGGTCTGTTCATCAGACATGTCATCGCATGTTTCTAGGGGACCCCAAGGTCATGTGTCGTGCGGAATCCATTCGCGAGGTCCTGGTGCAGGGGGGGGAGGCCCCGGCCCTGGAGAAGGTGCTCAAGGAGCAACCTTGGTCCGGGGGCAAAAGGTGTGTGTGTGTGTGTGTGTGTGTGTCGCTTTTGTCCCTTCTTTTTGGGTGGGCTTTCAAAGGAAAGCCAGAAGGAAGCCTGGCCGGTTATATATATATATATATATCTATATATATATATATAGAAAAATACATATATATATATATATATATATATATTTGGGGGGGAGCGGTGGTGGTCTTAAAATAGGAATCCGTTCTTTGCCCTGGAAGCAGGGGAGCCTCACAGCAAAAGATATCGTTCTCCTGGGCGTGCGCAGGAGTTGCTGGGTGAAGAACCGAACCTGCACACAGAGCCAAATCCGGAGCCTTCGATAGAGCAAGGCCAGGTTTAAGGGTTCCCCCCAATTGGGCGAAAGTGGATGGCATAATTCCAATTTGCTTTCACTCCGCTGCAAGGGGTCCCAAGGATGCGCTCAGAGCTGAGAAATCACCCAAGCAAACGGATCCCCTGGTACAGCCGGTTTTTCATGCCAAGGAATTCTGAGATTAGACCCGAGTTGGGTCTGATTTGAATCCAAATTGATCTAAGTGGCTGAGGGGCAACGTGAAGAGCAGGCCAGGCGACAGGCTTAGGAGGCATGTCCCCAGTTCATTAGCCTCGCTGGCTGTAAGGGGACATCCTCAAAATTATCCTCTAGATAGTGGGTTTAACGGGATGAGTTCCCCCTGGGCCCCCCCTGGCCCCAGAACTGATTTTGTGAGCCCCTCAAAATGACCGGTCTGTTGGGTTTCGAAGCCCCTTGAGATGCCTGGCACCTCTTCGTGGACGGCTCCTGCCCTGCCAACCGGCAGGTTGGCAAGACAACAGCTGCAGGCCGGAGTGTGAGCCTGGAACCTGGACATAGCAGATGGAACCAACAGCAATCCAAAGAGGGCACAAGAGTATAATGCTCTAAAGAAGGAACGGGCTTTGGGACTTTGGTAGGCAGATTGCAGAGGGAGCAGCCCAAATTGGGCCCAAGATATGCTCTGAAAATGCATTGTGCGCGGCATGCCAGGTTTTTTTTGGCACTTGGCAGCGCCTTGCCAGGCTGGGGTGTGGCCGTGTACCAGCAGCAATCCGGCGAAAGGCGCGGAAAGCGGTCCTCTGGAATGTGCGGTGTCTGCAAGCGCGATGGCTGGCATTTCTCTATGTTGGCTTGCAATCTTTGGCCCAGGCGTGAGACCGCCACACTGTCTCGAAAGTGGCGGACAACAACTTGTGGTTTCTGTTTGATAACCCGAAAAGAAAGCGCCCCCTCAACCAGACGGCTACATGACTCCAACGCGAGCAACCTTCCCCTGCCTCCCGGCCAGGAGCATCTTCGCAGAGCTCTTTGGGCCGGTGGTGACCGACCTGGCCTCGCCGCAGCTCGGGCAGCACCCCTGCAGATTGGAGACGAGGATTTCTATGAACATGGGATGCTTGAAGCCATGACTGGAGGACCTGCCTTGACTTGTGTGCTTCGGATAAGTTTCTATCCTTTTGAAGGATGGCTAGAGTCAAGGCTGCCAGGTCAATCAATGTCCGGCCCTTAGGCTGAGCTTGGGCGCCACCTGCGGCAGCAACAACACTGGGGAGCTGTCGGCGATGGCGGAGGCGGGCCGCCGCTTGCCGATCGCCGACCAGCCAACGAGTCCTCCAAAGCGGGTTTCTTTGTTGCCTGCATGTTTCACGGAGAGATCCGCTAGCCGCTAGTCAAGTTGTTGGCCAAGAAAGTGTCCGCGAGCAACACGTCAGGCCTGTGCGTGCCATTTGTTTTTTAAGAGGAAGCTCAGGTTGCTGCAAAAGGGGCGAGCCTCGCATTTTGTCCGACATGACGGCATGTTTCTTTGAGGGGCCTTGTGTCTACAAATGGACCTGTCATTAATCTGCAATCTGCACCCCCCCTCAAAAAGAAGAAGAGCAAAACCTGTCATTAATTTGCACCCCCCCCCAAAAAAAAACAGAGGAAAAAGAGGAAGACACAGACGCTGTCTTTCTTTCGGCTTGTTTCTGCCGCCGTCCTTTGGCACAGATTGCAGACGCGCGCGCGAGGCCTGCCTGTGGCTGCTGGATCAATCGCTGCTCTATCCCGCGGTGCTGCACTACGACTCGGAGCGACCTGTGGGAAAGGGGTGGGTGGGGTGCCGAAACAGTCTGAACCCCCCTCCCCCCCCGGGAGAAAAAAACACACACACACACACATAAAAAATAAATAAAACTAACAGCGGAAAACGAGAGAGAGAGAGAGAGAGAGAGAAAACCCCCCCCGCCAAAAAAGCAAACAACAACAAGAAAAGAGAGAAAACACGGAGACTGAAATGGGCGGTTGTGCCCTTTGGGTACTCTCTTGGGTTTGGACGTTTTCTGGAGGGTCGCGATTGGCCGGGGTTCTCCCAAAACAAAAGAAGCTAGGGTTTTCCGGTGGCTGACTTTGTCATGGACCACCCCTAAAATAGCTGGGCTCCTCAATGATACCCTCGATAAACCCAGGCCCAAGGCCTGAAGATTTGGTGACGGGGGCTGGCTTCAGGTGCGTGAATTTCCGTTTGCCAGATAAGGGTGAGGTTGCCCTATGACCGTTCATGTATCCTGAGTTTTCCCGTTCGAGCATCTCCTTTGGAAGCCGTGGGGCTTTGCAGCATTCCGGGTTTGGCAGCGGCTTGGCTCGTGAGGTATGCTGCGAACATTGCGCTGGGCCGAAACAAAGCTCACAAGCCGCTTGGAAGGCAAATCATCCAAGTTGGAGGCTGGTCAACCGAGTTTTTGGGATGGTTCCCGGACAATTGGAATCCCCTTTTTGTCTGGACAGAGGACATGCCTCGTATCCCCAGGCTCTTTTGACCGGGCATATGACGCGCCTCGTGAGTTCACGACCTGAGGAATGTCGAGCTGGCCGAGAAGCTGCAGATGCTCCTGGCGCAAGTGCAGGCGACGCTCCGAAGTCCCGCTCTTTTTTTTTTTTTTTTGCGTGTGTGTTTTTTGCCAGATGTTTCAATTTGCAATGACCCCCCATATTCATCAACAAAGTGAGGACTCCCCACGAAATTCAGGGACACCCCATACTGAACTGAAGCCCGCAGCAGTGTGCAGAGCGCACACTCGCGCGCGATTTTGAGAAGGCGCGAGCCCCGCTCTTCGCTCGGCGCGGCCTCAAGCCTCGGTCAGGCGCAGCGGCGTGTGCGGCTTTGCCACGTGAAGGGCCACTCCGGCTGCCCCGGCAACGAGCACGCGGACCAGCTTGCCGCCACAGGCGTGGGAACTGCACTGGGGCGCGATTGAGAAGCTGTTGAAACATATGGAACACAGACTGGGGTCATCATTTTGACGGTTTCTGGGTTCCCTTAAACCCACCACGGGGGTGACTTTGATCATGGTGAAATAATGAGGCCAGACAGAAGTTCTTCACCTAACCTCCTTTTGGCCAGAGGTGTCAATCCAGCGCCTGTTCCCTTAAGGAAGCCAGGCTGCAGATGCCCAGGCCAAGAACCAAAAAACAAAAGACATCGTTTGGTTACCTCGAGTCTGGCCGTAACGATTTCTGCCCGACCCCGGGCTTGACGTTCTTGGCCTCATGAAGCTGATGGGGCCCCGCATGGCCCGGTCTTTGATCCATAGCATCCTGAATCTCGACGAGTCACAAGCAGCTGTTTGCATGTGGACAGCTCTGGGCACTTGATTTGGTCTTGAGTCTTCCCCTTTGCCCCGAAAGCTGGCCTCGAAGAGGCTTCGCTTGAGGTTTAGGTCGTCCTTTCCCAATACGAGTCAGGAAAACAGGGTGTGGTCCACGTCACATGTTGGGGGGCACGGGGGTCCACCTTGCCACGCTGCTGCCACCCTTTGCCAACTGTATGGAACGGCAATTTTTTGACCTTCCGGGTTTGCCAGCTTTGGGGCTGCGGACGGACTTGCATAGGCTGGTGAAAATGGCATGGCCGCTTCTGGCCAACGGTGCGCTTTCGCTCCGCCCTCTGTCAACAGGCGCCCGCGGCAGCTTCAGCTGCCCCCGCTGGGCGCGGCATATGGCGGCGGAGCAAGCGGCCCAGCCACCCGAGGCTCGCCACCCCAAACACCTGCAGCGTTGCTCTTCATGGGGAAGAGTGCAACAGCCACCCATAGAGGAACCGACCTGACGCCTGCAGACCGACCCAACAGATTGGCAGTCAATAGGTTCTGCTCACGTCACTGCGGGCCCCTGGTCAATAGTCGCCAGGTCGGCAAGATTGAGCTGTCTTGTGCACCTCCGGTGTGGTTTACGCTTTGCGAGCTTCTCTTGCTTGGAGATTCCCGATTCTGTCTACATGTGCATAATTAATCCTTGTGGCTCCTTCCATGTTTTTGATGAAGACTAGCATTGCAGGGTGTTGAGGGGTGTGCATTTTCCAAGCGGTTTCCAGGTGTGCCCGATCTTCGAGAACCTTGGAAGAGGACACCCGCGTTGTGCTGGCGTCGATTTGGGCAGGGGCAAGCGATTTCCAAGCTCGCCAGAAAGTGGGGTGTCTTTTTCTGGGGAGGATTATATTCGGGCAGCTTTGCTCCCAGGCTCCGGCCCTCCCTTTGTATGTCGCAGAAATTTCTCGCTCAAGTTTTCTTGGCCAAGTATTCTTGCTGCTTTCGTTCCAGGTGGCTCTCGGACAAATTCAACACTTGGGGCCTTTGGAACCGAAGAGACTAGATTTTCAGTCGATCCATCAAATTTACAACGGGCAATGCAGCATTCCCCGACCAGTTTCAGCTTTTGAGCCCGTCCTGAGCCCGTCCAGCCTGGTACTACTCTACGGTGCGATGCAGGCTCTCCGAAAGCAATCGTTCCGCGAGCCCATGCCAGCAGCATGCTCAGAGGTTGGTGCAGCCGAGGTTTTCCGTTTCGCCAGGACCCCTTGACTCGGCAAAGCGGCGGCCGCCTACGCCAGCCACCGGCGGTTTCGCGAAGAAACTCCGTGGCCCGGTTGAGGTGATCCTCCTGGACTGACGGATCTGAGCTGGAGATGTCCGCCAGGAAGAAGAATTTGTCTATTTGGGGATGATGCCAAGAGTTCTTGGATTGGCCTTGCTTTGGAAGAAAATTGGACGTGCCCACAGGCTTGCTACGCTTGTCGTGGTTTTGGGTGAGCGGACGTCTCACTCATGAGTGAAAGATCAGCCGAAGTCGTAGATTGAGCGGAGTGCGCGTCCTTCCCCCCTCAAACATTGAAACAACAACGCAAGCGAGAGACACCTTCATGTCAGTCATCAATGAGCCCAATAGATTTGAAAGTGTGTAACTACCAGGCACGCACACACGTCACTGGGGTGCAGGGGCAGCGCGGTTAGACGGCTAGACTGCCGTCCGTGAGCTTTTTCGCAAGTCTGCATTCATTGCGAGCCTAGTTTTTTAATTGGCTGTCTTTGAGATATTCTTTTCTGGCGGATGGCCTGCCAAGGGAGAGACTGTCAAGCACAGTTTCAGAAGATGGGGGTGCTTCGGTTGCAGGGCAACGCAAAGACAGTCGGTTTATGGCGAAAATTCAGGTGCATTTCTAGCGAGGCCTCGTGATTGGAGGCTGCGGTCGGTTCAAAGGACCACAGCCGAGCGCGCGAGGCGCTTGGCCGACAAAAGTCTGTTGGCCAGGCAGCCCCGTGCCTCGAGCGGGGGGCACATCAGATTGCCGAGTGCCCGCGCCCAATCTCCGGACTGGTCCGCGGGTTGCAGAATCGCGTTCGGGCGCGCCGGGCGCGCGTGTGCGCGGAAACTGCCGGGGCAGTGGCAGTTTTCGATTCCCAGAGTTGGGGCCCC